AAAAAAAAAAAAAAAAAAAAAAAAAAAAAAAAAGCAGTTACTTAAAGGAAAAAAAATTTAAAAGGGAGTAGAAACAAAGAAGCAAACAAATTATGATGGCTAAATAATATAGTATCTAAAGAAATTCAGGGAGAGATTTCTTTTTAGAATGCATTGAGACGGTATTTTTTGATTGGATTCTTTTCATTCTTTTTATTTATTTTTTTTTTTTAAGAAAATTTCCAGGCTGCAAAACATCAGAAAGGCATCTAACTAGATGACTATTTATCATACCATTTCTAGGTTTAAGCCACAAAGTTGGTATGAGGCTCTGTGTCTGCAACATCATTTTTGGTTTATGTAATCTCACATTTGTTCTGATTAAGTTTGGAGTCACCTTTTCAAGTGACATTATGTCAGAAGTCTTAGTATAAGGCATTGTCTAAGTCCGGTTCCCTCTCTATACACCTCCCAGAAATTGCATTATGGAGTTAAAGGCTGTTTTGAGAGTTCTCTTTTAATGCGGGCTTTCCATACCCTGTTAGGTTTTAAATCTAGTTTGATTATTTTGTGTAATTGTAGCATCATGCGATTCTTTACATTCCTGTGTTTTAGGGCTACTAGTAAAGCTGTTCCTCATTTCCATAGTTTTCAGTATTTCTACAGCTGTTTTCCATTCGCCCATTTACTGTGGATTATCCATTCATCAAAACGACCCTGTGTAAATAATCCCTGGTCAGTTACTCGATGCCAAATCCTCTGTTGCCTTTTTTTCCCGACCGATCAGGACAGGACAGAATAAGATACCTTGCACTTCACACATATGCTAAATCAAATTTATTATATGTATAATTTTGTGTCTAAGGGGTAAGAAGAAGCAAATCCTATTTAATCAAAACGTACCCCATTCACCTTCCTATACTTCATAACACATTTAATATTCCCAATTCCTATTTAACTCATGAATCCATACTGCTCCAAAAGTCAATTAAGTGAGCAAATAAATAAGTTTATGTACAAGTAAACAAACATATACACATTACCAACGGCCTACAAACATCTCCATTTAGACGGTTATTACTCATAGTCTAAACGGCCACAGCCATTGCAAAAAACATTTATACACCCACCTACAGTGACTAAAAGAATTGATGGTCACCCCCCTTCTTCATATTTAAAAAAAAAACTGGCACATGCTTGGAGATTGGTGTAATTTAACTGTGAGCTTGTGCTATTCTTTCATATTATTTATAAAAAAAAAAAAATGCAAATTCTTTTCTTGTTTGCTTGAACACTTTTTTTTTTTGGAAATTTTGGAAACTAGATAGCATTATATCCTCCCTCTCTGTTGATAAAAAATTTTTTGTATGCTGTCGGGTAGCTGTTTACTTTTAGCTTTATATATTAACTCTGAGGTTTGAAATTCCACTAGATCAGAGAATTTATGCAAGCAGGAATGAATGGATAATCGATTAGTGTGGTCATGATATCCAATCTTATGAGTTACCCTGATGGCTCTTTTCTGCAGTGTGCATATTGGTTTGAGTGATGTCCGTAAGTGTAACTACAGACTTCTACACAATAGCTCAGGTAGAGTAAAATTGGTGAACAATACATAATGTGTAATGCTTTACAGTTCAGAAAAGGTTTTTCTTTACCAAGAACTGCTTTGCTTCTAAATAATTTAGTCTGGACATATTTGATGTGGGGCTTCCAGCAGATCTTGTCATCAATAATCGCACCAAATCATTTTATTCCATTACTCGTCCCACCTCTACCTCATCAGTTCTAATTTACACATATATTTTTCCTTTATAATTTCCCAATAAGATGGGTTTAGTTTTCTCAAGGTTTAGTGATGATATGTTTTCTGTCAAACCATTCGTTTTCTGCTGTTTCCTCTCTGGTGTGACATGATCCAGGAGCTGCTCTATGCTCTCACTTGTACATAAAACATTTGTATCATATGCAAATAAAACAAACTTTAACACTTCTAAACCTTACATGTATGTAGAGAATAATAAATACCATTCCCAATACAGATCCATAAGGGAACCAGCAAGCAATGCGATTGATAATCACTAATTTTCACGAGTCCCTGTTACTTAAATAGCTCCTCATCCACTTTGAAACCACCATTATGCTATAATTTCCTTATTAATACATTGTGAACAATTGCAAAAATTGTTTTTTTTAGATCGACAAAAAGATTAATTGCAAACATATTTTTATCAACTGAACTACAGATTTTATCTAATAATTTCAGGACTGCCAAAACTATGAATCTCTGTAACGTAAATCAATACTTACTTTTAGGAATTTGTTTATTGTTAAAATTGTCTATTCTGTGGGAAAAATGTGTTTATGTCCAGTTTTGTATAAAAGCAAGATTTCTGCAGTTTTCATTTAGTTTAAAATATATACCCATTTGTAAAGAGAGGTGAAGATGTCAGTCAGTGGTTAAACAGCTGTATCAGTAAGCAATATGGATGTCATCACTGTCAGTGAAGCTTTAATTTTTTAATTTGTTAACAACTGCTATGATTTCTCACCCTTTCACTGCTGTGAGAAACACTAAGTTTGCTTTCCTTTTTTTTTTTTTTTTTACTATGTGAAAATATATAATTATTGAGGGGATGTAGTAAAAATTCTCTTTGAGTGACATTAAGTGTGCTCTGTTTATATACTCATCAGTATACAACACTGTTCTTACTGCTGAATATACGCCACGCAGTAATTGGTGGCAGATGACCCTTAGAGCTGCTAATATGTTTGCCATTGGACTCAAGTTAAAGCTTTATGATTGATGGTTGAATAACATGAGAAAAAAAATGCAAATTCTCTGTTTTATAATGCATCTTTGTGGCATCTTTGTTTTTAATCTGGCTCTGACTTCTTTACATCAACACACCACTTTCCAACTACCATCTCTAGTCCCACATAGTGTTTCTCTTTCTGTTTGTTTGCCATTGTTATTACTCTTCTCTTCATCATGCTTGATTATGTGGCAGCAATTGTTCTTATAATAAGCTTCCTCATCTGTTTTCAAATCTATACCTTCTGCCTCTCAGATAATTTCTACTCTTTTCAACATTTTGTCTCCTGATTTCGACTCATCCTGAAATTAGCTATTCTAAGACCTTCTGTTCCCAGTGCAGCTTGTTTTGCTGCCATTTTCACACCCTGCCCTGCTCCATCCTCTGTTGCTCTCCCTCTCTCTCTCTCTTTGCCATGTTTGTGGCCTTTCGCTCTGTGCACATCTAATGGCTCGGGTGTAATCCACTGGCTAATCTGCTGACAGCCTGTGTGACAAGGCATTAGCTTTGTGTCACTGCCTACCATGCTGCTTCTCAGCATGTGTGCATGAGGACGACGAGTCAAAAAAGATAAAGAAGTCTATGAATGTTGAGGCATCAGTTTGCATGCCAAACATATTTGTGCATATGTTAACATGTGTGATAGGCTGTGAGTAATAGCCTCTGATTTCTCTGCTTAATGTTTAGCCAGAAGCGTAAAATTGATACTATAACTACTCAGTTTTATATGACCTTTTGCCTTTCCATTTTTTCCACTATTTATGTCTAGTGCTGTTCTTTAACACTGAGTTGGGGAATAGCACTTTTAATAGAATGCCAAGTCAGACCACAGTGGATGCTACAGTAAGACACAGGTCAAGGTTGGATGCAAGCCACCCAACCTTGTCAAATGGGACTCAGTTTGTATACAAATATTAGATTTCTCTTTTATTATTTTCACTTCAAGAGAATGGACACAATTGCATTTCTTTCAGATGTTGCTGTTTTACCTCATGTGGCTCAATTTTCCCCCAAAGATTTTTTATATTTGTTTTACCCTATTGGATGTGAGATCTTTTCCTCTTTTGTCCATAGTACACATATAAGGACACTTAAACATAAGTGTGATACAAATGACTGACTCAGTGCTTCTTAAAGGACAAAGTTTATTAAATTAATTTAAATGGCTAATAAAAACCTCTTTTAAAGTCAAGCAGCAAGCTGTTTTTAACAATTGAACCTGCAAGTGTTTGCGAAAATGTAAACTTTTATTTATGATGTAATTTTGATAATCGGTCCAAAGGTAGGTGTATAAAAAAAAGAATGTTGTAAAAAATATAATTTTTGCCCTCACTCTTTGCCGAGTAAAGTCTCCCAAGGAAGCCACACTGGGGAGAACAGGCCCCAAACTTCATGGCTAAATGGACTAGATTGTTCTAAGTGGACCGCAAGACTGTCCAGAAACAAATTTCTTTAAAAAACTGTCTGCAGCTTTCTCTCTGATTGTCATGCCTTTTGTTAAAAAGAGTTTGAGTTTATAATTAATCAGAGTGAGACATCCCGTTTTTGTTAGAGCTTTAAGGTAAATACGTTACGTAGTGAGTGCTCTCACGTCGAACATATCTTTGACGTATTTTTCTATTTTTTTCCCCTGGAAAATCCCGTTTCAGCAAGTTAGCTTCAGAAACGGTTCATGTTGAAGTGAAATGTTTTACAGGCTTCTGCCTCGGCAAATATTCGTCTTTGTGAGTATTGTTTTGCTCAGAAAACACTTGAATATGTGTTGAAATAATTTTTTTTGTAAAGTATGAGAAATGTCTCAGATAAATTTGTGTTTAAGTTAAGCTAAGTGTAGAATGTGCTGAGGATGTTCAGATCTGAATATTAGTCAGTGATTAGTTTTTTCTTCTGTGTATTTCAGTTACAACAATAAAAAAGGATATCAAAACCAGATTATTGAATAAAGATTCTTCCAGAATGCAAGAAAAGCAAGCCTTGTGAGGAGAACTTTTTTTTATGTTGTTCGCTGGCTGTCTAACTTCATATGGTCACGTGTTGTGAGGACAGCACAGTAAAAAGACGACATACACTGCGGGCTTAAGCATACAGAGCAACATTTAACAACATGAGTCTTCGCTCAGGAAAAAATTATTTGAAAGACTAAGCTGCTGATCAGCTACTTGACGCAGCTGGTGATGATCAACAAACGGAAGATGCCACTCAACAATGTACAACGCAGCAGCCGTCTCAACCATTGGACGCCATGTCGCAGGTCTCCAGAGCACCCACAAGAAGGTCTCAACGGACATCCTCATCGTCAACAGGTTCCTCAGCCGCACGGGCCTACGCCAAAGCTCAAGCAGCGCGAGCTCAACTAGCCTATGCCAAACAGGAAGCCAGCATGATGAAACAAAGAGCCGAATTGGACACACATCTCCATATCCTTCAGTGAGAAAAAGCCATTGCAGCAGCTGAAGCAGAGGCCACAGCTTATGAAGAAACAGAGAATCAGAGCGGGGAGCTCCACAAAGGACTTTGTGTGGAAGCTGAGCCCTTTACCCCTGTGCAGCGTACCAGGGAGTATGTTAAACAACAATCTCAACTGTTATTTTCAGACAACCAGCAGGATCCAGTACCCCCTCCTGACAGAGATGTCACTGCAATAGATACACAAGACATTTCACAGGTAAACAATCCTATGAACACTCAAACAAATCCACCATCAGGAAACAGGATGATGAAGCAGGAGCCAGTACTTAATACATGTGGCACAAACGATGCAAAGGATTTTGCAAAGTACCTCATCCGTAAAGAGCTAGTAAGCACGAGCCTCATGCATTTTGACGATAAACCCGAAAACTATTGGGCATGGAAAACCTCGTTTATTGATGCCACCAGAGAATTAAATCTGTCTCCCAGAGAGGAATTAGATCTGTTAGCAAAGTATTTGGGACCAAAATCATCTGAACAGGCAAAACGGATTCGTGCTGTACACATCCTTAATCCGGCTGCAGGTTCTGTGATGGTCTGGCAACGCCTTGAAGAGTGCTATGGTTCACCTGAGGTAATTGAGGATGCACTCTTAAAAAAGGTAGAGGACTTCCCAAAGCTAACAAATAAAGACAGTGTTAGACTGCAAGAGCTTAGTGACGTCTTAATGGAACTTCAGTGTGCTAAGCAAGATGGTGCCCTGCCAGGGCTAGCATACCTAGACACAGCCCAAGGAGTCAAACAAATAGTTGAGAAACTACCCTTTAATTTGCAAGAAAGATGGACAACTGTAGGAACACAATACAAGGAGACCCATGGAGTGTCGTTTCCCCCTTTTTCAGTTTTTACACAGTTTGTTCAGCATCAGGCGAAAATGAAAAATGACCCCAGTTTCATGTTCAGTCCAAATAGCCAGGTTCCATCTCATGCAGAAAAACTGAGACCATATAGTCGCAAACCTACTGTGTCAGCTCATAAAACTGATATCACAGTTGAGCCTAATCAAAGTAGTCCAAAACAATTGGAGGAACCAGACCGACAGTGTCCGATCCACAAAAAACCACCACTTTTTAGATGCAAACCTATTGAGGAAAGACAGGCATACCTGAAAGAGCATCACATCTGTTACAGGTGCTGTGGGTCAGTGAGACACATGGCAAAAGACTGCAAAGCAACAGTTAGATGCACAGAGTGCGACAGCGCAAAACACTTATCTGCGATGCACCCTAGTTATCCCCCCGCACCAGAGAGCACTGCACGTGAACATAATGTACATGATGAGCAACATGAGAGTTTACCTTCAGGCTCTCTTTCAGTTGTTTCAAAGTGTACAGAAATATGTAGCCAAAGGACTACCCATGTTCATGTTCTAAGATAAGCTTAATCAAAGTATACCCTGCCGGGCAGAGAGAGAAGGCCATTAAAATGTATGCAGTGATAGACGAACAGTCCAACAGGTCGTTGGCTAAGTCAGAGTTTTTTAACCTTTTCGATATCAGAGCCACACCTGTGCCTTACACATTAAAGACATGCGCTGGAAATGTACAAGTATCAGGAAGGAGAGCTGTAAATTTCTTCATTGAGTCTGTAGATGGAAAAGTCAACATTCAGTTACCACCACTAATAGAATGTGACTCTGTTCCAGACGACAGAACAGAGATACCCTCCCCTGAGATCGCACAGCATCACCCACATCTCTTCCCAGTTGCAGATAAAATTCCACCTGTTGATCACCAGGCTCCTATCCTTTTACTCCTGGGTAGGGACATTCTCAGGGTCCATAAGGTACGTGAGCAAATCAACGGGCCAAACAATGCTCCTTACGCCCAAAGACTAGACTTGGGTTGGGTTATCGTGGGAGAGGTGTGTTCAGGAAAAACGCATGGTCCACCAGAGGTCAACGTTTACAAAAACACACACATTAGATAATGGTCGTGTGTCCTACTTTCAGCCTTGCCCAAACATAATTCATGTTAAAGAGAATTATGGGGTTGTGTTAGACAACGTCTGTGACACAGATGACTTAGGGCACGCTGTGTTTGCTAGGTCTCAATGTGATGATAAACGAGCTTTATCGATCGAAGACAAAGCTTTCCTAAAAATTATGGACAGAGAAGTCTACCAAAATGAAGAGAACAGTTGGGTTGCACCTTTACCCTTTCGTTCAGAGAGGAGAAAACTCCAGAATAACAGAGAACAAGCTCTAAAGCGTCTCTCTACACTGAAAAAGACATTGGCAAAGAGGCCAGAGATGAAGGCTCACTATGTCCAGTTCATGCAAAAAATGTTGGACAATGGCCAAGCGGAATTAGCTCTGCCCGTCACGGTAGATAAAGAACTGTGGTATCTGCCTACATTCGGGGTATACCACCCTCAGAAACCAGAACAAATCCGGGTTGTGTTTGACTCGAGTGCAGAGTGTGACAGGGTTTCCCTTAACCAAGTGCTTCTTAGTGGACCCGATTTGAACAACTCTCTGTTAGGAGTGCTGCTACGGTTTCGTAAAGAGCCAATAGCCCTGACAGCCGATATACAGCAAATGTTTTACTGCTTTGTTGTTCGAGAGGACCATAGAGATTATTTGCGCTATTTGTGGTTCGAGGACAATGACATTACAAAAAAGATACTAGAGTTTAGAATGAAAGTTCACGTATTTGGAAACAGCCCGTCTCCTGCTGTTGCCATTTACTGTATGAGACGAGCGGCACGACAGGGTGAACGAGAACATGGCTCTGATGCGCGTCAGTTTGTTGAGCGTCAATTTTATGTTGATGATGGTCTCACATCTGTTGCCACTCCACAAGATGCTATTGACCTACTTAAGAGAACTCAAAACATGTTGGCGGAGTCAAACCTACGCCTTCATAAGATAGCATCAAACTGCAGTCAAGTTATGGAAGCCTTCCCTTCAGAGGAGCATGCAAAAGACTTAAAACATTTAGATCTAGGAGTAGATCCTCTTCCAGTTCAGAGAACCCTAGGACTCTGCTGGAACCTACAAGCTGATAGCTTTACTTACCGTGTGTCAGCTGAGACCAAACCATTCACACGCAGGGGACTACTGTCAGTGATAAATAGCCTCTATGACCCATTGGGGCTGGTTTCCCCAGTCATAATGCAGGGCAAAGCATTACTAAGGGATCTCTCATCTGAAGTTAAGGATTGGGACGAACCGTTACCCCCCAACAAACAGGAAACGTGGGACACGTGGAAAAAGTCATTGCAAGCCCTTGAAAACCTCCAAATACCAAGATGCTACTGCTCAGGTACATTAAGCATAAGTAAGATAAAAGAGCTCTGCATTTTCTCTGATGCCTCTACCGTGGCTATAGGCGCAGTAGCTTATTTGCGAACAGCTAGTGATGAAGGACGCAGCCATGTCGGCTTTGTAATGGGAAAGTCCAAGCTTTCACCTCGTCCAGCACATACAGTACCGCGCCTAGAACTTTGTGCTGCTGTGCTTGCAGTGGAGATGTTCGAGCTTATTAGGGATGAGCTAGACATCAAAGTGGACTGTGTGAAGTTATACACAGATAGCAAGATTGTGTTGGGATATATACACAACACTTCCAAACGCTTCTACATGTATGTTGCCAACAGGGTTACACGTATTAGAGCATCCACACAACCAAACCAGTGGCATTATATACCAACAGAGCTGAACCCAGCTGACCAAGCTACTAGGTTTGTCCCGGCAGCTGACCTGCAGAACACTTCCTGGTTCTCAGGTCCACCATTTTTGTATCATGACACAGAACCACCCAAAACCGGTCCTTTCACCCTCATTGATCCTGAGAAAGACAAAGAGATACATCCAGAAGTGAAAGTGCTAAAAACTACAGTGTTGGAGTCACATCTAGGTTCTCAGCGCTTTCAGAGGTTCTCTAGCTGGACCACGCTGTGCAGAGTTTTAGCTAGGCTCATTCATGTCATCTCATCCTTTAAACAGAGGAAAATTGGATGGAACAGTTTCAGGGAGACTCCAAGCATCCAAGAACTCACAAAAGCCAAAGTAGTTATCATACGGGCTGTCCAGCAAGATGCCTATGAAGAGACAATTAAAACGCTGAAAGAAGTTAAACAGAAAAATGTGAAACTTGACACACTCAGAAAGCTCAACCCTTTAGTTGACAAAGACAACCTCTTAAGAGTTGGGGGACGTCTCTCCTCAGCCGATCTCACTGAGAATGAAAAGCACCCTCCCATTATCCCATCCTCCAGTCATATTGCTACACAGCTAGCAAGACACTTTCACGAACAAGTGTCTCATCAAGGGAGACACATAACTGAGGGAGCTATCCGAGGTGCAGGGTTTTGGATAATCGGAGCAAAACGCCTTGTGTCGTCTGTCATTCATAAGTGTGTTACTTGTCGAAAATTGCGAGGCAAAATGCAGGTTCAGAAAATGGCAGATTTGCCCGCTGACCGACTCACTCCTGAACCACCTTTTACATCTGTCGGTTTGGATGTGTTTGGACCATGGACAATCGTAACTCGTAGGACAAGAGGTGGCTGCTCTCAAAGTAAACGCTGGGCCATTTTGTTCACGTGCATGTCAACCAGAGCCGTGCACAATGAACTGATAGAGACTATGTCTACTGACAGTTTTATAAATGCACTGAGAAGGTTCTTCGCCATTCGTGGCCCAGCCAAGGTTCTACGCTCAGACAGAGGTACGAATTTTACAGGAGCTTGTAAGGAGCTTAACCTTGAGAAAGAAAGCTCAGCAGTAGGAAAGTACTTGCAAGAAAGAGGTTGCAGTTGGATTTTCAACCCGCCTCATGCGTCGCATATGGGAGGGTCATGGGAGCGCCTTATAGGAATTGCAAGGCGCATTCTGGATGCAATGCTGTCACAAACTGAATCAACGCGTCTCACTCACGAAGTCTTAAACACCTTTATGGCTGAAGTGATGGCAATTATTAATGGAAGACCCCTGGTTCCTATATCCACAGACCCTGATTGTCCTGTAGTACTCACCCAGCAATGTTGATAACACAAAAGGTGAGTGCTGTTTCTGCTCCATCTGGAACTTTTCCACATGTCAGTTGTTTGGGAAACAGTGGAAGCATGTCCAGCACCTTGCTGATACTTTTTGGAAAAGGTGGAGAGGAGAATATTTGCCCACCTTGCAAAGTCGTCCAAAGTGGACTGAAAACAGACCCAATGTTAGAGAAGGAGATGTGGTCCTACTGAAAGATCCTCAGGCAAGCAGGAATGAATGGCCCATGGGAATAATAACAAAAACCTTTCCCAGCAGGGACACAAAGGTCCGCAAAGTGGAACTGAGGGTAGTACAAAATGGGACTGTGAAGATATTTCTAAGACCAATATCTGAAGTCATTGTTTTGTTTTCTGAGACTGAGTGACTACTGCATCATCTGTTGCTAAAGAGATGAGTTTTTTTTATTTCTTATGATGTCTGTTGTGACATAATGTGATTACGTCAAGCGGGGAGTGTCATGCCTTTTGTTAAAAAGAGTTTGAGTTTATAATTAATCAGAGTGAGACATCCCGTTTTTGTTAGAGCTTTAAGGTAAATACGTTAGGTAGTGAGTGCTCTCACGTCGAACATATCTTTGACGTATTTTTCTATTTTTTTTCCCTGGAAAATCCCGTTTCAGCAAGTTAGCTTCAGAAACGGTTCATGTTGAAGTGAAATGTTCTACAGGCTTCTGCCTCGGCAAATATTCGTCTTTGTGAGTATTGTTTTGCTCAGAAAACACTTGAATATGTGTTGAAATAATTTTTTTTGTAAAGTATGAGAAATGTCTCAGATAAATTTGTGTTTAAGTTAAGCTAAGTGTAGAATGTGCTGAGGATGTTCAGATCTGAATATTAGTCAGTGATTAGTTTTTTCTTCTGTGTATTTCAGTTACAACAATAAAAAAGGATATCAAAACCAGATTATTGAATAAAGATTCTTCCAGAATGCAAGAAAAGCAAGCCTTGTGAGGAGAACTTTTTTTTATGTTGTTCGCTGGCTGTCTAACTTCATATGGTCACGTGTTGTGAGGACAGCACACTGATTAACAGGAATAACTTGGAGCCAGAAGTTTCAGATTTGTTGAACCTGCAGCCGTTGCAGGTCTGGCAAAGGCTAGGAAAAGTGTTTCCAGCCATACATATTGGGTTTCGAGTCAACTATAGTCTTTCCTTAGCTCTCTACTGTGCAGATATGTTTATATCTAAAGGAAACATTCCAGGACATTACAACTTTTTTTATGCTATTTTGTACTGTGTACCCTCTATTTCCGGTTGTTTTTTTTATCTTTAATCGCATCTTGCTTTAATTCTGCTCTTTGTACTCTATATAAGCTACTGGAAACAGAATTTCTCTGAAGAAGTAATCCCAAGGGATAAATAGATTTTGATCTAAGTCTATGTCTTTAAACCCCCTGCAATAATAGTTTCAACCCATTATGATTGCCTCAAGGATAATCACAGAAAGTTGGAAAATAATTATCAAAATTTATTTCGTGTCGTGGGTCAACCCCTGGGCCTCTTCCAGTTGGAATGTGCTTTGAACACAGCACAAGTGGAACGACAACAGGGAAATCCAAAAATGTGGTCTGAGCCATATCCGACAGAGTCTGATCAATGTGGACAAGAAGTGCCTCTACTCCAAGCATCTCCCGGTCAACCAAGCTATTCTTTATATCTCTGATGGAGTACCCAAACACACTGTGTGAAAGGCGTATTTCAGTTGCTTGTATTTAAGAATTAGAAAACAAATTATGATTTATTGCCAAGTAGGTTTGCACTTACAAGGAATTTGACCTGGTGTTGAAGGTGCAGACAATTTAGATAAATATACCAAATACAGAATCCATACCTATATACAATATAAAACATGCAGTATACTATATACAATATATAGTATATAGCCATATACTAAATACAAAGTGGATGTGTGTTAATGTAATGCAGCAGGTCTGGAGATGCTACGTTAGTATAGCCTTGAGCCTTGTCTTTTCACCTAACTCTTTCCTTACTAAAACAGACCAGTGCAGTGTCCAGGTTATAACATCAAATGCACCGATCCATTTATCAGTCTCCATTCTCCCCATATTTGTGAACCAGGCCTCAAGATACTTAAACTTCTTTATTTAAGGCAGGAGCTCTCTTTCAAACTTAAGGGGACAAGCCACCTTTTTCCATTGGAGAACCATGGACTCAGAATTGGAGGAGCTGATTGTCATCCATCAAGCTCTGCTGCAAACCACTCCCAGTACATGCTGGGGTTCTTGGAAGAATGGAGCCCTGAGAACCACAGCATCCACGTCATCTACAGAAAGCTGGGAGGAAATCTGCTGGTCAACAAACCAAACCCCCTCCAGGCCTTGGCTGTGCCTAAAAAACTTGTCCATAACGGTTACAAACAGATGTTTTATTTACCCCTTGGTAAATAAATTTGCATTGCAACTTGGTTTAAATAAATCCCAATTAAGCTAAATTAGTTTAACACCTAATTTGATCTCATTCCAAAACTTAAGAAAAACTTAGATTGTGAAAAATAAAATCCAAGCCAAACCGTGATATCATTCCATGATTTTAATGAATATGTTTTTTTTTTAACCATTTCCAAATACTTCTGTAAGGACATTGTTGTTGTTCAGGTTACTTTAATATCATTAGTTTAAATTATTTTTGTTATTAAAGTGGTGGACTTTTAATGGAAGTTCTGAATTTATTACATATAAGTACATAGTTAACTGTTTGACCATAATTTGAGCTGTATCATTTTTCATTTGTTGACCTAATAGAAAGTAACAGAATGGAACATCAGAGTCTGAAAATTTATTATTATTGCTAATATTTAATTTCTTATAATTTAGATATTTTAATGACAGAGGATTGCAGAAAAATAACAATGAAAAATAATGTGCTCCAGAAATTTGGAATAATACTGAAGTTCAATATGAAATGAGTTTCAGATCTTTCAAAACTTCTAAGTGGACCACAAGTTCCATTTCTATGCACTCAGTACTTGTTTAGAGATCATTTGCAATGAATGACTGCTTTCGGTGCAGTATCGGTAGCATAGAGACCAGCCGCCTCTGGCACTACAAATGTGTAATCACAGCCCAGTTTGTTCTGATAATGTCCCTTAGTTCATCTAGATCGTTGGGTTCAGTGGCTCTCATGTTTGACAATACTCCATAGATTCTCTATGGAGCAAAGATCAGACCGGTTTGCTGGTCAGTCACTCAGAGGACCACCATGGTCACCGAGCCAGATTTGAGTACCTTTAGCAGTTTGTGGAGATGCCAAGTGCTGTTGGAAAGGGACATCAGCATTTTCATAAAAGTGGTCAGCAAAAGGAAGCATGAAGTGCTCTAAACACTAGCTGATAGATGGCTGTGCTGACAGGTATAAGAAAATGATCTAATTAATAACTGTTGTCATTGCAATAATGCACTTTAGTTATATATAATTTAACAAAGCACATTATCAGAAATCAAAGTGACTTCTGAAAAGGCAAACTGTTACTGGAAATGTCTGCTTCTGGCAGTTAGACAGCAAGGGCTGAGATAAAGGGATCCAAAGATCTTTAAAGTTATTAGTCTTCGCATTGATTATGAACCTTCTGAGCCAGACTAAGAGACCATGTAGTGGCTCAGGAAACATTTGCAGGTGTTTCGAGTTAATAAGCTGATCACGGTGAGGGACCGGCACATTTTCAATATTCAACTTTTTCAGAATATTCATTTTCTGGGACAGTATTTATTTATCAATATTAGGTATTGAAATGTATTTTACTCTGTGTATAAAATCTCCATTATAAAATGGCAAAACTATTGACAAAACATAACTTTTCCACAATAATCCCTTTTCTTGAAATCTACCTACACTAGTCTCTTCTTTGAAATCTGCTGTTGTGCCAATTAAAGTTGCTTGTTCAGCAAAAGCAATTCTAGTGCTAAATGTTCTTACTACTTGATTGGTACCATCCATGAAAGTAAAGATTATAGCAACAAACACACAGCAAAAACCCTGGGACCAACTATTTAGATTGCTCTGAGGAAATCAACTCCTACCATTAGGAGCTAGGGGTGGTCTAATAAAGGCAAGCAAGCCACAAAAGTGTAATGGTTAAACATAGCGAATTAGTATATCTTTGAGTCTGCTTCATTCAAATTAAAGCAATAAAGGATAGTTAAGGTTATAACTAAAACTATTTCGGTTAGCAGCTCTTATTGTAAAAGTAGATTGATAGTAACTAATGCAACACAATATATACATTTGCACTTATCATCACATAATCTGTGTAAATGCAATGGCCTGCATAGAAGGCACATTTGATAGGCATTTATATGTCTCACGCATTTGGTGATTTGATTGAGTTTCCCCAGCTTAGGATGCCCACAGCTGCTAAAGATTCAGTTTGCAGAGAGGGTAAGTATAGATTGCAGAAAACATACAACACCAGTAATATTTCTATATTTAGAAATGATTCTGCAATATCATATTTGTCTTATCTTGAACAGCCCTGGTACTTTTTATATAATTCTTACAGCTGTATTAGTCCTAAAAGGGTCTAAAAGGGTTTAAATTTGTAAGGGTATTAACAATTTTTGAAATATTAAATCAACTGCTTCTTATCAGCAGCAGTGATTTTTCTAGTTAACCTTTAAAATACCTGTGATAAATTTTATTTCACTTTAATTTCACATAAAAAAAAGATATATATTTTTATTACGTCCTTATTTGAATAATAGGCATTTGAATGCCTATTTAGTGTGTGTTCCTGCCCCTGTGCAGCAGCACATCAGCCAAATAGGTGTTCATTTTCCTCTATGCCCATATTTTTCAGTTTTAGCTTCTGTCCCTTTCACTATCTTCACCTGAGCGATCCTGTTATCACAGCTGACCCCTCGCTAGATCTGTCGACAGCCAAAGAGATTACACCGAAAGCTGCGAAACACACCAAGCTGGCCGTTTGAAGAGGGAGGCAGAGAGATTGCCTGATCCCCTCACACTGATAAAGTAGCCAGGGCTTTGAGGATTCAACAAGATCCCAGTGGGAATGGGTGTAGTTGTGGGTTGGTGGTTTTGCAATAGTCGACTTAAAGTCCACTTCTAATCACTGGGATTTTCAGAGGGGATAAGAGGAAAGAGAATGGATGTTTGGTTTGGACTGGAATTAGGCCCTGATGGAGTTGCAGATAAGACTGCCAAGCTTTGATAATGCAGTTTGTTTTGAGAGCTTGTGAGTGGCATATTTGGTCAAATATGCTGTTCAGCTTGGGGCAAGATTAATGCGTCGTGATTCAATAGCAGCTTGTAATTGATTTGCCTTCCCGGTTGTTCTTCAAAGACATAGAGGTAATAAACTTGCTTCACATGGTGTCTTACAAAGGTACTCATGTTTTTCAATCTTATATAAACTTTAGTTGAATTTACCAGAATTGTATGATTAGCCCTAACACATTAGCCCCTAAATAAATTTGATGAATAAACAAGCAGTCAGGTGAAACAATCTGTTGATATAACCTTTATTAATGCAAACCTCAGACCTTGTGAAAGAGTGGAAATAATGTAATAATAATAATAATGTAATACCAACTATGCAAATAGTCATGAACACACCATCTTGATTGGGAGGCATGAAAGTGGCATGATCATACTTGGGGAATGCTTATCTTCAGAAAAGACAGGAAAGCTACACAGAAATCAAGGGAAGATAGATTGAGATAGAAACATATTGGAAAAATAAACAAGCCTATAAGAGAAATGCTTTTAAAACTTTTCAAACAAAGTCAAAATGGTTATAGTCGTTGCATCCTGGCTACACACTTCTTGCTCAGACAACTGTGCATCTTGTTTTTCATTAATCTTAAAGACTTTTATCTTTTTTTAATTTTCCAATTTTTTTTTTATGTGAACAAGTTGGAATGTTTTATTGGCCTATCAGACAGCTTTATAAACAATAAAAAATAAACTTATCATTTAGCCAACAATTATTTTAAAACATTGGTAAAGCATGTTATCTTCTAAAAAAAACTGGTAGT